CTCCACCTTTCCACCAACCATTCACACACGCGATGGCAAAGTTCCCATCGAACAGAAACAACTCATATCACACATTCCAGACACCACTGCTAATGCATCCCGGGAAGCCAATTTGGGAATTCAAAGTATCTCGCGTCAGAACCACGTGGGCACGGAGGCAGGATCCGAACCAACAACCTTCCGAACATGGGGGGACGACCGCGCTCCTGCCCTTCTGAGCCACAGACCACCCTATTCAACCCTGAGACCCTAAATTTCATTGCGAATTAAGATTTTACATATACACGATGGCTTTTTGATATTGAAAAGGGCCCCAACCCAATACCCCTAAAGTACTGCCCTCCTAGATGTTCGTCTTAAAAATACCCAAAATGCGGGGAAGTGGACTAGAGGTACTCCTAAAAATTGAAAGCTGTCTACGGACCCTGCCTTTAACCTTGCCAAAGAATCTTATCAGCGGGCAGTATAAGGGTTACTTGAAAAGGTTTTGTACGAGTACATATGGGATGCAGGCTCTAAAAAGTGGGTTTGAATTATGAGCTGTGTTCATATGTACTCAATCCATTACATAAGTTGGGAGAGCTTAAAGTCTTCGAAACAACTTAAGACAGGAGTTCACCCTTTCCAACGGAATGACTGTAACAACAAAGGATGGGGGAAAAAGTGAAAAATCCGAAAAGTCTCCTGAAGAAGTTTTTTTAAAAAATTACAAGCTTGGGGAAATGAGAGTTGGAAGGGTAAATCTCTAAGTTATATTCAATTTTTTTTGTTTTAAGGAACCCAAACAACAACTATACCACAAGGAGAAATTGGGAGTTAAAATGAATGCAAGAATCTAATTGAGATACCTGGACAGGAGATTTGCAGGAAAGCAGCATCAGCATTACTAACGCAAATATCTGGAGGGAGGTTAGGTGGAAGTTAATAATGAGATATTTCTTGGAACACCAACAAATAACAGCAAAGTGGGGTCCAATGCCTCCTCAGACAACATGTTGGAGAACTGTGGGACCCACAAAGTGGGAAACCCACCACAATCAATATTTTTTGGTCAAAGTTTGAGTAATTTTTGGAAGGAAGTGGTTAGACGCCCTGGAGAGAAGTGTTCCACCAAAAAATCCCTAATCGACCCGAGGGTAGTCCTCCTCGGCCTTCAATCCAAAAACGGTTTGTGAGGGAAGAGCCAAAATCTATCCTGTTACAAATACTCTTGGGGGCTACTATTAAGTCGTATCAACGATAAAGATGGTTTGAAACCAGAAACCACCCAAACATATACATCATATCGGCTTAAAAAAAGTATGGGGGGGGGGGGGGAAAAAAAAAAAAAACACTTGTATCGAGAATGGATACCTTACATATGCCAACTAATACTACAAAGACCCCACATTTATAAAGAGATGGAGCCCTGGTAATGAGTCTTGTTAATGCAAATAAAGAAAACTTATTTGTTTATTTACATTATTAATTTCTTTTTTCTTCTTTTTCTTCTTTTTTTTGTTTCTTCATTGTTTATTTTGTGTATTCTTGTTCTTTTTTGGTCGGATATAGTGAGTGGCATTCAAAGCAGCCTGGTAAATGTGTGAAGCGCTAAGGTAAAAAATGTAAAATTGTATTGTCATCGTCAATGGAATGGCAACCTTTTGGTGAAAATAAAAATATGAAGTTCCAAACACACCACTGACAGAAAATACTACAGTAGAGAAGAAACGACTACAGTCACAGACAGGAAACACTACAGTATACGAGGCGAATGTGGCACGTAGTGTAAAAACGCTTTGAGTGGTCGGAAGACTAGAAAGGCGCTATACAAGTACAGGTCCATTTACCATCCATTTACCAGTTGTGCGGCCCAGAAGTAATATCTGAAGTTTGGAAGTCCCACACCGCCATTTGGTTTTGCTAACTGCAATGTTTTTAATCTTACTCTTGGACTTTTTCCTTGCCAAATAAAATTTTAAACCATTTTGTTTAATTTATTAAATGTTAATTTAGAAATTTCTATGGGCAGCATCTGGAATAGATACAACAACCTGGGCAAAACGTTCATCCGTATTCTCTACTTGACCTATTAGGGATAAAGGTCGACCATCTCTCTAGATCCTCACTGATGTGTTTGATCGTTTTCTTATAATTAGCTTCATAAAATTTTTCTGTAGATGGGGGGATAAAAATACCCAAGTATTTGAAACCATCCCTAGTCCATTTAAACACACTGTTAAGTTTAACCGATATTGGAATTTGGCTATTACCATCCATAGCTTCAGTCTTATCCATATTAACCTTATATCCCGAATAATATCCGTACTACAGAAGATCGTTTAAACACGGTATTGTTGTTGCAGGTTCCGTTAAGAACATCATCGTCACATCGTCAGCGTACAATGATAATTTATGCTCTTCACCATTGATAGAGATGCCTTTAATATTACAATCATCTCGGATGAGCTGGGCTAGTGGTTCAATACTGATAGCAAATAACAAGGGTGAAAGAGGACATCCTTGTCTACAACCGCGCTCTAATGCAAAACTTGCCGATATATGACCATTAACTTTGACTGAAGCCAGTGGACATGAATAGAGTATTTGTATCCATTGTATGAAGTCTGAACCAAATCTGAACCGTTTAAGGGTTTGGAGTAGGTACTGCCAAGACACTCGATCAAATGCTTTATAAGCGTCCAGTGATAGTAGTAACCTCTCCCCACTTTGAATAGCTCATTATATTTAATAATCTGCGAAGATTGTCACCATAATATCTCCCTGTGATAAAGCCTGTTTGGTCTGGATTTATAATTTGTGCAATGATCTTATTCACTCTCTTTGCCAATATGGCCGTTAAAATACGTATATCGCCATTCAATAGAGAGATGGGCCTGTATGACTGGCATTCAGTAGGGTCTTTACCTTCTTTGTGTATTACTACTACAGTTGCTTCTCTCTATTACCATGCTCATAATACTTCTGATTGGTGAACCTTAGGTTGCCTTCAATTTTCTCATTGACCAGATTATTATATTCCCTTCGTGCATCTCTAAAATTAGTTAAGAGAGTAGGATTTGAGCTCTGCTTATGTTGTTGTTCCAGTTTTATAATCGTTTGTTCTAGTTCCTGTTGTCTAGCATCCCTCTTTTTCTTTCTGGCACTTGCGAAAGTACGATAATACGACCCCTAAGGTAGGCTTTTGCACCGTCCCATAATATAAGTGGTGATATTGCTGGGGAGGTGTTGGTGTCCAAATAGAATTTGAGTTCTGTTGTGATGAGGTTGATGAACTCTTTATCATTAAGGAGAGATGCATTTAACCTCCATTGTCTAGGTGTTGACTTATGTCCTATGTTCCATGAGAGTTCAATAGGTGAAAGTCAGCTATTCTGTATAGTTCAGCCCTGGGGGTAAAAAAATAATCGATTCTGGAATAGGATGCATGCCTATGCGAATAAAATGTAAAGTCTCTACAATTGGGGTATTTGCTTCTCCATGCATCGAGGAGTCCCAGTTCGGTAGATTGATATTTTAATGTTTTATGCATTCGAGAGGGCATAGTAGTGGAGACTGGCTGTTTATCTATAAATTGTGACAAAACACAATTAAAATCTCCACCCATTAGCAAGATCCCAGAACTATGCTGTGTTATCACGTTGAAATCTGGGTTGTCCTCATTTGGAGCGTATAGATTCATAAAAGACACACACTCTATACCATCAATGGAACCATTTAACAAAATAAATCTCCCCTCTGTATCCTTATGGATTGTGACCAAACTGAAATTGACAAAATGGATACACCTTTCTTTCTCCCCGATGAATTCAATTCAATTCAGTTCAATTTTATTTGTATAGCGCCAATTCATCTCAGGACACTCTAGACCCAACTCCTTTTAACATTTACAGAGACCCAACAGTACCACCATGAGCAAGCACCTGGATGAGATGAGAAGTACACTTTATCAGCCCATGATTTCTTTAATTTTTCGTGCTCCATGTCAGATAAATGCGTTTCTTGTAGAAATGCTATCTGACACTGAGATTGCTTCAGGTGACGTAGGATCTTTTTCCTTTTGAGAGGGCTGTGAAGTCCTTTAACGTTATAACTTATTATCCTTAGTAACCCCATTCAAAATATATAAACTAAGGGGAATCGATGCAGTTGAGACATATTCATTACTTAAATGCATGAGGAGGTATGGGGAGAAGGTAGGTCTGAGTGGTTGTGATAGGAGTGAGGGAGGGGGCGGAGGAAGGAATAAAATCTGAAAATGAAAATAAAAATGTAAAAAAAGAAAGAAAGAAAAAAGAAAAAAAAAACATAAAGAATAATTAAATAACCAGCAGCTGTGTGACAAAGCCATAATATCAATACCAGGCATTAGGATATTGGGGAGTCTCTATTCAGGAACGAACTGCCTCTCTCACCGTTTTTCTTAACGTATAAAGATCCCAAGGGGAACACTGGGATCAAACAGAGCAACGGGGAACTCTCTTGGACTCAAGAACATGAGTGTCAGGTTAGTTCTTTGGGACCTAGTCCCAAGCTGCACAAGGCGAACAAGCAGCTATGTAAGCTGTTCTCTATGCTAAAGTAGATACCTATTAGGCTATAGTGTGTATTAGTTATTGCCTGTGCTTACAGATCCAGATATGGACAGGGGTTGTCAGATGTTCACTACACAGGCTCCTACAGAACCACAATGTAAAATAAATTAAGATATAACAACGGCACCACAAATTATATAAATCCCAAACTGTTTCCTGCATATAGGGGATAGGCATGTTCCAAAGTATCTAAACTAAAAAGACACACAGGATATAAGATCAGATTGATCAACTGAGGACACTGTGGGCCTACAGAAAAGGTGCAAATGTTAAATAAATCAGGTCATCTTAATTTGGAGCAAAATAATCAGATTACTGTGAATAAAATGTACTCATTTCGACATTTGATCAAACGTGCGCACCTGAAACGGCGACGCACGCACAACCACGTGTGCACATACACATACTGTAGTTACATTCTCAATGTGCCGCTACAGTCGCGCTACCTTTCCTACATGACAGATTAATCATAACTGTATATGGATACGGAGTGTCAGTATTTCACAAATGGAGTAGATCTTACTTTATATAAAGACTTAGATACTTATCAACAATGTTCTTTTTCCACCAGGTTAGAGATGCGCTTATCAGGTCTCAGTCTCTGTCCCTGGGATTATTCTCCTTTTCACATGGTCACTACTAGTGACTAGTATTTCTGCAGTATTTCTGTCACTACTGTAGTATTTCTGTCAGTATATTTCTGTCAGTACTGTAGTATTTCTGTGGTATTTCTGTCACTACTGTAATATTTCTGTCAGTATATTTCTGTCACTACTGTAGTATTTTTGTCAGTACTGTAGTATTTCTTCTGTCTCTACTATAGTATTTCTGTCAGTATTGTAGTATTTCTGTCAGTATTGCAGTATTTCTGTCAGTGCTGAAGTATTTCTGTCAGTATATTTCTGTCAGTACTTAAGTATTTCTGTCAATATTTCTGTCTTTCTGTCTTCAGATCAATATCTCATCTTTGGGGCTGAGGAGGGAATTTACACTCTGAACCTGAACGAGCTGCATGAGAACTGTATGGAACAGGTGAGAGCTCACCTGGTCCACCTGGTCCACATGGACCAGGTCCAGCTCAGGAGTTGAGGTTTGGTCTGGTTTTGACATATGCAGAATGAATCAGTGATCAGTTTTGTGTCTGCAGTTGTTTCCTCGCAGGTGTACCTGGGTTTATGTGATGAACAACACTCTGATCTCCATCTCAGGTGAGTTGAGAGTCAGACAGACAGAACCTTTACTAATAGAACGTTCTCTAGAGAACAGAGGGAACAGAAAGACCTCCATCGGGCTGCGACCAGAGCGCTTTGATTAAGGCGGTGAAAAAGCAACGGCAATGGCCTCTGAGTTGTACAATAAATCTATCAGGATGTTGTGTTGAACTTGGTCGTTGCTGAAGAAAAGGGGGTTTCAAACAGCCTGCTAGCGAAAAATGGAAAATAAAAGCTGTCTCATATTCATCTTCTAATGTCACATATTTCATATTTATCATTATACAGTTTTATTATTATTGAATCGCATCTTTCTCTGTATTCTCAACACGAGTCACTTCACTGCAACATGAGGCAGTAAAAGACTTTGAGCTCAGTAAAGATCAAATTAAAGCTGCAGGCAGCGTTGAGCACACGTGTACCAAAGCCACAGCAGGTGGGTCGGACGCTGCAATTTAGGGGTGCTGTCATCCATATATGGGACCCATATGACATTTATATTTAAATAGGGCCTCACTAACACTAAATATTAATAATCTCTAATAATCATAAAAGAACAAAGAAATGTGTGTGTTAACTGAGCCCTGTCTGCAGGTAAAGCCTCTCAGCTGTACTGCCACAGTCTGGCCGGTCTGTTTGAACAGGCTCGACAAAAACAGAAGCTCACCGTCTCCATCCCGACTCGCCGTCTGCCCGATCGCATCCTGCCACGGTCAGTTCCTCCACACGCTAAAAAAATGTTGCAGGTAATAAGGGAACATGTAGAGCTTCCTCTCACACACAAAAGGCAGCAGCAGTTTATGGTTTAGTATTTTGCTGGAGGACACTTGTGGACAGGAGTAGTGTCAAACTGGCAACCCTGTGAGAGGGAGCGGGTCCTGTTCTACTGAGTCCGCCATGTTTCTACAGTAGCCCTAAATGGCAAACCAAACAATGGCTCTAGAGAGGGGCTTTACTGTTTTGCGGCCATCATAGTTTCTCCTACACACTGGGAAGGCTGAGCAGTATTCAGTTGGCTCAAACTTTACCACTAGATGACTAAACCCTACACACTGGTTGTTTGTATCAGTCCAATTATGTTTAGCTGTTGGGATTGAATGCTAGTTAAAGAAAAAGTCAAGAATCAAAAGGAAAACACCTACATTGCTGGCAGATATGACGGATAACATGTGATTGACCTTTAACAGCTTGTTCCTGATTGTCTTTTGTCTCCAGGAAGTTTTCAATCTCCAATAAGATTCCTGACACTAAAGGCTGTCTGAAATGCTGCGTAGGTGAGTCATACACCGTTTCCCATCATGCACTTCTCAGCCTCGGTTTCGTTTCGTCTCAGGGTTAATCAGTTTGAAGTC